TAAATGTGCCCCAAAAATGGAGGAAAACAAGTGAAACAAAATGTGAAAATATGCTGAAATAGGTCAGTCCACTCGAGCGATTACTTCACTGCTTGAGCGGTTAATGGGTCCTATCAGAATTTGCAGGCTTGTAACACAAAATACTAGAAGTTGCAAAAATTTGCTCAAGCAGTATTCTCACCGCTCGAGCGGTGAACTGACTTACACGAATTTTCAATCCTGCAAAAACTCAAACTTTTGGATGTTCACCATGTTTGCTCGAGCAGTCTTCTCACCGCTCGAGTGGTGCTGAATAGAGAATTGCTACTCGGAAATTGCTCTATTTTGTAGGTTGTTCCAAGCTTGCTATGGCTGATTCCTATTGATTTTTCAACTCCCAAACATGCATAGAAGGTACTAAACATGGTAATAAGATGGTTTCTTTAAATCAAATGCATCAAGCTCTATTTATTTCCAAAATATGAAACATAATTCAAAGCTAAATGAAAGACTTCATGATTCTTCAATTTTTGTTTCAAAAACTCAAAACCAAGTTATGGAATCATAGGAAATCAAGGAAACATGTCAAAGAAGGTGCAAGAACATTCAAAATCTCAAGAACCAACTTAAAAGATGGAAAATCCTAAGTTTCTTTCCTTGTTCTTCATCCTAGCTAACCCCTTTTATCCCTAATCTATTTTCTTCGTAGCTTTTTCATAATTCATGATGCTAAATAAGTTTACTACAAGATTTAAGGTAGAAATCTCACCTTAGTTGTGATAACCCTGTTTTGTGCTATGTTATGTTAATTAATTATGATTGTGTTTGTGATTATGTGCTTAATTTAATTTGAGTGCTAATTATGTGTAATAGTTTGTGTTTGTGAAGTCATATCTATGCACTGTAGGAAAACCTATTCAACTTACCATTATAATTTGGAATTGAAGGCCGTAGAGGCGATAGGAATTGAAATTGAAAGTACCATTGTGATTAGTGTAATTTTTAGAGCCTATGGTGAAATTTAATTAAAAATTGATTCAGATCAAAATAATTAGATCAATTTAATGATTAATACTAAGCTTGGATTAGTAATGTTGATTAGTCTAGCTTTTAAATACATGGGAAATTAATGTATAAGCTCATATTTGAGCTCATTTCTCATACTTGGCTGAATTACACTCTAGAGAGAGAGAGAGAGAGGGCACAAATTGTGGATTTTGGCTCAAAGCTTTGGAATTTGGAAGCTAGGCTCAAGAAATTAGTTAAATTTGAAAGAATTAAAGCTTTAGGTGAGTGATTAAACTCTAATTTATGAGTTCAAGATCATGGTTATGTGAATTCAAAACACTATGAAGCTAAGAATGAGATTTGAGTTGAATATATAATGAAATTGGAGTTTGTATATACATGCATGTAAGCATTCACCATGATTATGTACATTTGAGCTTGAGGCATGTTAAACATGAAGAATTGGTATTTATTTTAGACATGCATCCATGAATTATAGGATTATGGAACTTGGTTGAATAACTTTTGAAGTTATAGAGCTCAAATCCACATTTTGATGATGATAGAAAAGAGTTCAAGTTTAGATTCATACATGCATGGAAGTTTAGAATAATGATTTTCCAAATTCATGAAGTTTTGTGTATAAGAAATGTAATTCATCAAGTCTTAGTGTTCAAATACGTGTTTTCAAGTTTTTGGGTAAATCATGCATGAATTTGGCCTTGGATGTGTGTGTTTTGAAGCTCAAATAGTGAGCTGATTTGCAGAATTTGAGACCTTTGCCCGAGCGTAAAATGAAGGCAACCAGAAGTTTTGCAAACATTGATGTTCACTCAAGCTAGAATAATTGCGCTCGAGCGATCACTCACATCTTTGAGTCTTGGCCCGAGTGAGAGAAGCTACGCTCGAGCGTGAAAATGAAGCAACTAGTACTTTTGCAGAACAAAGGGGTCCGCTCAAGCGAGCAACGCTACGCTCGAGCGAGGGACCTTGTTTCAGAAATTTTGAAAAGTTGTTTCATGTTTCGATTTCTATTCTTTTTCTTTTATAAGAACTCTTAGGCATGCATTGAGCATTGTAAATGAACTAAAGGAATAAGAAAGAGGCCTAAGAGAAATAAACAAGTAAGAACGGATTGAATTGCTTGTGACCCAATGTGTTATGAAATGTGTAGGGTCAAGTGCGAGGGTAAATCCATTGATGGAACATTGTGAGTAATATCTTAGTAAAGATATATTCAAGTAAGTTATTTTCCAAATGCTACTTCTGTATGAGCTTCATGGATTTGTTGGTTTGAATCATGAATGAGTATCCTATATGCCTAATTTTTGTATAAGGCTTTGTGAAGAACGTGATTTGGGCCCAAGGCCGTTTGATTCGTTTGATAAGAGTATGAATTGGGCTTGAGGTCATTTGATACATTTGATATAATTGAATTGGGCCTAAGGCGACCATTTGATACGTTTGACTATGAATGTGATGGGCCAAAGGCCGTCTGAATACAAATGTAATGGGCTAGAGGCCGTTTGAACATGAATGTGATGGGCCAAAGGCTGTTTGAAAAGCGAATCTACTATTTGATATGTTTGACTATGAACGTAATGGGCCAAAGGCCATCTGAATACAAATGTAATGGGCCAGAGGCCGTTTGAACATGAATGTGATGGGCCAAAGGCCATTTGAATGAAAAGGTAATCATAATCATGAATATGAAATACACATAAATATGAATATGGAAAATAATGGGTCCGAGGCCGTTCGATATGTTTGAAGTGTTTAAAATGGGGCCGAGGCCGTTTGATGAATCTGACAAAGTTACGCAATGGGCCTGAGGCTGTTTGATATGTTTGATAAGGATCTAAAATGGGCCCGAGGCCGTTTGACATGTATAACAAAAACAAAGAATGGGCCTAAGGCTGTTTGTATATGAAATTTATGGGTTTGATGTACTTAATATGAGTCTCATTCACATCACCTCTTTACTTTGGTATTATTCACTAAGCATTCACTCACTCTTATTTATATGTATGTAGTTGAGCAAAGAGATGTCCAACCCCAGCCCCAGTGAAGAATGTGAGAGAAATCCAAGTTTTGTAGAGTCAGCCCGGATGTCTCACGCACGAGATTTTGTTTTTGTTCCTTTGTTTTACTCTTTTGCTACCTTGGTGGTCCTGTTGGATCACCTATGTATGTAAGTTTTTAGTTGACTGCCTATGTGTATGAAAGTTCTTGGATGTACAAGATGTTAACTTTGTTTATATGGTGTGAGTTATTATGGAACGCGTATGAAATGTTTTTGATATGCCATATAAGCACAGCTCATTGGACAATTTTTAAGTTTGCTTCTGCTTTGGCCCCTTTATTACTATTAAGATACGTTTAATCTTGTTTGAGGCCGTAGGTAATCTCATGATTACTGGCCGGTAATGCCCTTAATCTATAGGGATAAGTTCGGGTCATGACAGAGTGGTGTCCGAGCATAAGTTAATAACTTATACACTGGTCCAAATGAGCAATAAAGTGTCTAGAAAAGATCTAAGATGCATTCATGTGAGAAGTATGCATTTGAATGCATTAAGAATATGCTTAAATGTTTTGGAACGAATGACTATGTGACATAAGGATTGTAGTCTACTTGTAACTAATGACCATATTGGCGAGTCCTATGGTTTGAGAGCACACTAGGCCTAGTAAGAGGCAAAGGAGAGTAGAATCACAATCACAAGCATAGTTTCATTCCCTGTTTCCTTTTATTTTTTCGGATTTGTCCATTGGGAGGTCTAATCAGACACAATTTCCTCGAGTGGGTCATAGAATAAAGGACCACCATTTTGTTCCAAGTGGAATTAGTTGGGTCATGTTAGATGTTGTTACCCTTAACGTGGTCAGAACCAGTCTCAATAGTGTGGGGTAGTAGTGTTGTTGAAGATTAGTGGAGCATTTTGGTTGTTTTGGCATTGTACTGCTATATAATTAAATGTAGGGCCTTGTGTCTATCAATATTGTGTTCATGTATTTTGTTGGCTTGAATATAGTAAACTTGACTTGTGATGTTTTATGAATTTACTTAAATTAAGAAGTTATTGCCGGGATTGGGGAATATTAGTGTCATTACTAATGTGTTAGTATAGTATAAGTTGATATACGTAGTGACTTGTGAGCTCTTCTTTGGTTAAACGTTGTTGTTAAGAATAATAAAAATGTATTGGTGCGAAGTAAGTCCGAGGGGTTTTGTGGACTGAGTCGTTTTGGTGTAGGGATAAGAGTTTTATAAGAGGTAGGTAGAGAGAATTTCTTGGTTGGGTTTTGAGAGTGGTGGTGAAGTTACACTACAAGAAAAAACACTTTTGGCGACCACCTTTTTTGAAATGGTCGCAGATATTTGACTTTCTGCGACTAATATTTTTTTGGTCGTTGATGAGTTGTGTTTTTGCGACCAACTACATTTTGGTAGCTAATAAGTAATTTTTTGCAACAAAAAAAAAAAAAAATTGGTCGCGGAAAGTAATGGCGAGAGAGGGGGAAAAAAAAGTACGATCTCAAAACCTTTGGTGACCAATAAATTGTGGTTACAAAAAGGAAAATACCATATTTTGTATCAAAACTACATAGTTTTGAATGTTTCCTAATATTAATTAAATTTGTTACTATTTTAAATAACTATTAATAATAATCAGTTCAAAAAAAATTATTAATAATTAAATAATAAATTATTAAGAATATAATAGTAATTATTTTTTAATAGAATTATTATTTATTGATTAAAATCATAATTTTTTTAAATTTATTTTTTCATTCAAAATATTAATTAAACTTTAATAATGGTAAAATTACAAATATAAATAATAAAACTTAAAAAAAATATAAATTAAAACCAATTTTAACTACAAAATTTTGTCCCAAATTCAAATTTCTTCTCAATGTTTGAAACAAACCCTCCAAAATTTTACCTAAATTAAAATTCCCTTCTAAAATTTTCCCTAAATTTCTACAACCTAGTCCCCCCCAAAAAAAAAAAAACAAGAAAAGGAAAAAATTAAGAAAAACTAGTTTGAGGGAGATATGTTCGAGAGAGAGAGAGAGAAGACGAAGAAGAGACAGAGATGGAGGGAAGAGCAGTCCTTCGGAGCGACGACTATTGCTTTGCTCGTGATTGCCAATGCGTTGTTCGAGCTGTCCTTCGGAGTTACCTCCTTCGCAACCCTGTTTATCTTCGCTTCTCCCTCCGGTCGACGAAGACCAGCAGATGAAGCAAACGGAGTTGTCTCACCTCTCCCTCCGGTCGGAGCTCTATTATCTCTCCCTTCCACCGCCCAATTTTAGGTGCATGTTCAGATAGTAGGGTTTTGAGTTTTGATTTGAGGCTTTTCAATTTGAAAATTAGGGTTTAGGGTTTTTCAATTTCAAAATTTGGGGCTTTTAATTTGGGGTTTAGTGTTTAACTTGGATGCATGTTCTAAATGTTTAACTTGGATGCTTTTCAATTTGTTCTGAATTTATTATTTTTTCTTGTTTGGTTTCCTGAATTTATTTATTTATGTTCTTTATTTTATTTTTTTATTTTCATGCTTTTATAACATCTATATGATATTCAGTGGTCACTTGCAAAAAGCTAACTGGAGCTTGTTAGGTAAAAACTGAAGTTGATACTAGAAGATACGGAAGACAAAAGTTATGGAATTTTAGTTGTGTTGTTGCCTTAGTGACATAACATTACTGTTTGTGTTTTTATTCATTTTCTTATTCATTTGAATTATAAGATAAGCTCTCAGTACTAACATTTTTTTTAATTTTTACTTCTGGTACAAAAATCCATGAGTTGCTAATATTAACTACACCTAGGAGCAAATGTATTCCTAAATAATCTTGGAGACACTTTCTGTAAGAGTTGCAATATCTATTTTTCTTCAGCTCATAGCACATGTACACCACACTGTCGTGTTTGTTTGTTTGTTTTTTTGTTTGGGTATCTATAAAGGATACATTATTGTGCAAAGGGTTGGATTTTTTTCCCTCAGGTGCGATTACTACTGTATTGAATTTTTGAAAACCAGTAAAGCAACAATTGTTTCCTGATGGTTCTCTCTTTCGTTAAGCTGAAAATTATTTTTTGTTCAATTATTGTTTTGGTTTGAATGGGTTCAATTTTTGTACTGTTGAAAAAATAAATAATATATCAACATGAAATTTTCAGGGTTTTTTAGTTGATTTCAAGGTGTCTGTGTTAATGAATAAATAGATATATGAGTCTCCTTAATTTGTGTATTTCGATCAAATTCATTATGTGCTCTCTTGTTCAAATTTATGGATGTGTCTTCTATTGAAAAGAGAAAATATTGATTAACGGTAGTGTCTCTTCCCTCTCTTAGCCGAATATAGAATCAATAGTTTCAGTGATTTGGTTGTTGAATCAATACTTTGAATTGAATTTTGAATGTTGGGTGGTAATAGATTTTAAGGTTTTGAAATGAATCATAAATGTAGGATTTCAAGAGTTACAAAAAATAAAACATAAAAAATTGATTGCTTGCATGGTGTTTGTTGAATTGCCATAATGAATATGTTGCTATATAGTTTCGAGCTTTATACAATAAATGTTTCTTTTGGGTGGATTGTACATGTCAAAATGATTTGGTTACTTGATTGTAATGCATTGTTGTTCAATATAAGAATAATCAAACATCGAGCATATCATCTATTGTTGGAATAGAGCAACAAACATGATTGTAACATCAATAATGAAATATAAACACCGGAATCATATAATTTAATATTTTGTGATTGCATATTTGTACCTTTGAATCATATGATATACTAGATGTATTGCCACTCAAGTTTGAATCTTCGATAGATATCTACTAAACTTGCAAGACTTAATTGAATTTTTCTGTATTGATTGTAATAAAATTTTCTATTTCATTCTTTATGCTTTGTTGTAAAACATTTTATAATTGAATGATTGTTTGACAAGATAATATATATTGCTGCTGCTACATTTTTTAGCCAAGTATGGATTTTGTACAAAAGGAATTAACATTGGCAAACATTGTCTCATTTTTTACTCATCGTTATTATGATTTTTTTTTCTTTCTATTTTTCCTCATAGGTCTCATGAATGATTTTGAAGAAAGATCAAAGTTTTGATTAATATGTCAATGTTTTGAACACCCAGAAGGAGAATAAGAATTTGGTGTTGGAACAAAGTTTTATGATGGGAATGATTTCAATTTTTCCAATTATTCAAATGAAAGCCAGTACCAGTACCAGAGCAAAACCAATTCTCTAAACACGACATGGCCTTAAAGTTACAGGTTTCTCTCTCTCTCTCTCTCTCTCTCTCTATATATATATATATCTTTCTATTTTTTTCTCTGTTTTTCTTTGTCCAGCTTCATGTATGACTTAGTGATACAGATTTTCATTATTTGTTTCATGTGTTTCTTTGATTAATGCAATCTGCTTCGTTCCTTAAAAGAAAAAACCATAAATGGTGAAATTTTGTTGGCTTCCTTTTCTTAAAAGGGTTTCTACTCTAATGTCATTAAATTAAATTATGCATGAGGTTATTATTTTTTCCCACTCTTGGTACTTCTTCACGTCATTGATTTACAAGTGTTTCTTAATATTTGTTTGTTTTCATTTTTATTGTCTAATGGTCAGTTATTATTAGGTATAAAATAGTCATTATGAAAATTTAAAATTTGTAGGTTTGTCTATATTTACACGACAAAGGATTACACGCAAGCCCAAACCCTTTTAAGAAAAAGAAGCCAAGAGAATTTTTTATGTTGATACTCAAAAAGAAAAGAAACAACATAAAGAAGGTGAATATTATTTCTGAATTGAAATTAACAAAGTCCACGCATTATTATGGCCCCGTTTGGTGGAGCTATGGGAAAGTGATTATAGATTATAACTTATAGCTGTGAACATAAGCTGATTTTTGACTTATAAATTAAGCTTTTCCTCCCCCACTCAAAGAATAAGTTGATTTTTGACTTACAAAAAGCTATAATCTGTATTGTTAAGCTGAACCAAACACATCAAAATAGCTTAAATTAAGCTAAAAGCTGAAATAAGCTGGAAATTAGCCTTACCAAACAAGGCCTATGTTAGGTGATATCGTATTATAAAAGAGAAGGGAGCATAGCTAGATTTTAGTCTATTTTATTTTAATATTTTTAAAATAAAAATATTTTTAGAATTACCAGTTTCTCTTTTCTTTTGAGCATGGGTTAGCTGTCAAAAAGTTTGTAGTCTTTGTTCTTTCTAGGAGGATCATCTTATGCTGGCAGTGAAAAATGGCCTTGGTTATTTTGTTACACTTATTTTTGAGTATTACTAATTATATTTATCTCTTGCGAGATATTGAAATTTAGAGACGAATTCTCTTGTAATTTTTTTGCACTAAACAAAGCTCAATTCTAAGTTGGTTTATATCTAAATAACGTTTTTCTCTCCATATAATTTTCTACTCTATCTGTTTATAAATTTCAGTTCAAAACACAAATGTAATGGGCACTAGTTGGGCATTAGTTAGCGTGCCTTGCACGCGGCCTTTTCACTAGTAACTATAAGAAATTTTGAATCACTATGTATTATCCTATGGGTGAAAAAAAATGTTGGCTTTTAATTTTGATTTCTTCACAAACCAAGCCATACTTTCCCTTGTAAGCTTTATTTTTATATGTTAGTTTATTAATTTATCTTTTTATATGATGTAGTTGAGATTTGTATGAGGTTTTTTCTTCCACTTTCTGGTAAGGCTCTGTGTGATTGCTAATTTGGGAGTGGAATTAGATCCTCAGAATTTTAAAAAATTAAATAGAAATGTAAGCAAAAATATTATAATCAACAACGCTTACTTCAATTTTTTTTTTCTTTTTTTTGCAGGTAGCTAGAGGTGTAGTCATGCATGTTTATGGACATGAGTTTGCTTGTGCATTAATTCTAAGTTGTGCTTATACGTAGAGTTTTTGATATATTTCTCATCAGACAAATATTGCACACACTTGGATATGAATGGTTTTTGAAATCTTTGATGGTTTTGTTAAATATGTTTTTGATGTGGTGAATTCATTGTAAACTAAATGGATAAATGGATGGTTATTTTGTAAACTAAATGGATGGATGGATGGTTATTTTGTAAACTAAATGGATGGATAGATGCTTATTTTGTGGCAGGTGGTAGTAATTTGATAGAGTAATTACTATTTTGACTTTCTTTCGATGGTTTTTTGTTTGTAGATTAGATTGTTGATGGATTGGTACGTTGAAATTAATTGGATGGACATGAATTATGCATTAATTGCAAATGTATTGTAGGTATTACATAGGTATTACAAAAAAAAAAAAAAAAAAAAAAAAGCATTACATTGACAAAAATGATATTTAAAATTGAATTTTTTTTGCGACTAATACAATTTTAGTCACAATAGGTCCATGAGAAGCTTACTGCTGCGATCGACTTTTCGTGACCAAAATATGTCATCGCTAAATGACAACTTTCCATGACTAAGCTAAGTTTGGTCTCCAAAAACCACTTTTCAGCCAATAAAATCAGTGGTCGCAATTGTTACCTTTCAGCGACTAGCTTTTTGGTCGCAAAATGAACAACTTTCGAGAAATTGAAACCCTTTTTGCAACCAAAGTATATGGCCGCAAATGCTTACTTTCCGCGACCAACTTTAGTTTTGGTCACCAAAAACCTTATGTGACGGGCTTTTAGTGACTAAATTGCAACCAACTTCTTATGGGCTCTAAAAACCATCAGTGACTAGATATGATTTTTCTGCGACCAAAAAGTTGGTCGCTAAAAGTGTTATTTCTTGTAGTGTTAGTTGTCACAACCATAGCTCGCCCCTAAAGGTTTAGGCTGTGACCGACCAGTAATCCCGGATTACCTTTGGCCTCAAAGTTAGAATCAATTATAATATAACAATGGGGCTTAGGAGAAACAATGACATAATATAAAAATAGACCATTGAGTAGTGCATACACACCAAAATCATAAGTATTAAGAACCTTAGACTCCATACAACTTATATACAATATCTCAAAATTAGACCTCTCACCCAACATCATTCATATAAGTTGCAAAATTATCCAAAAAAACAAAAGCAAAACAAAAGTTGGGTTGACAAAGCTTGACTCCTCTTGAGTCTAAGTTCGCCTTTTCACGGAGGCACCTCCAAAATGGCTTCAAGGGGGTAGAAACAGAGGCGACCTTAAACTTGACATTCTACTTGCTCAACTACATATATATATATATATATATAAGGGAGAGGGGTGAGTTGAAACCCAGTGAGTAATATTAGTATAAACGTTTATATGAATGAAGTCCAACATGATATAATCATATCTTCCATTTTTGAAATAATACATGTCAATAAGCAATTCAATAGAATTCAATCATTTCAATCCCTTCTTGCAATAACCATAATCAATTATTCATTGCAATAGCGATAATCAATCATTCGATTTACGTGGTACATCTAATAGAGTTTCAATAGACAATGTGTTGAAGCCAATAGGACCACAAGGGTCAATCCAATGGGACCATGATAGGCCATTCAATAATTCAATGTGGACCATTAAGGTCTAACATTAGAGATCTCTGTGTTTTAATTAATCTAATGGGCCATGGTATTGTTTTCCCTAGGCAAGGGCCAATGGCCATGGTAGTGTTTACCCCAGGCAAGGGCCTCACTAAAGGATGTCACGAATATGTTTCAAAAATGGACATTCATTCGTGAATAGCAAAATAGAGTTAAAAAATACCAATCTTGCACAATTTTCGAATACAATTCTAACATCACTTTATAAAGACATTACTCACTGTGAGTTAGATCGATACTAGGCCTCGGACCTCCACGTACACAAATCACATAACACCAATACACATTGAAGCACACGTTCAAAACAAGAGATGTATCTTAATTATTCTCTTACATGTGTTTCTAGCTTATTCATGACTAAGGATGTTCAAATGATGCCAAAGAATGCCTAAATGGGCATGAGGATGCAAACATGCACGTATAAGTGTTAGGCAAAGTTTGCTAAAAATAGGGTACTCACTCGAGCGCACATTAGGTTGCTCGAGTGGTCCAAAAATATGAAGAGGGTTCGCTTGAGCTCACACTTGGTCACTTAAGCCATCTACAAAGACTACAAAAGTACTGGATGCTCAAATTTGCGCTCGATGGTCTCTCCACAGTCGTTCGAGCCAAGTGCTGAACAAAAGTAAGTTTGCTTGAGCGCACACTTGGTCGCTTGAGCTAACAACTAAATGTCTGTAAAAGTACTAGATGCCTTCATTTTTTGCTTGAGTGAAGGATCCTTTGCTCGAGTGAAATGGACGAATTCTGGGTTTTCCAGATTTGTGTCTGAAGTTCAAAAACATTCCTTTCAAGTTGAAAGCCAGCATGGTTGGTCTCAAAAGCTTAGAAACACTTTATAAAACATGAATCTTTGGAAATTATGAAACCATGATCTCAAATTCTCTATCAATTCTTCAAAACAAAGGTTAAAACATCAAGTTCTTGACATGCATGCAACAAGCTCAATTCTTTTCTTACAAAACAAGCCTATATAAAGTGTTGAGTGCAAAACCACGAAGAATCTCAAGGGATGTCTCATGTAAGTCCCATGCATGTATCAATATTGAAGAAAACCAAGTTCAAAGATGAAGAATTTTGCATGAATGTACACAATTCACTACACTTTTGATGATTCTTGCTCAATTATTTCAATTACATGCAAATGGTCCTAGAACTTGGTGAATTAATCTTCCTACATGGATTATCTTCATGAATTATAGGTCAAGGTCATACCTAGAGCTTAATTTAGGCCTTAGCTAAGCTTGAACTCTTCAATCTCCCCTTAGTTCTCTTGAATTCTTCTCTCTCTCTCTCTCTCTCTCTCTCTCTCTCTCTAAAATGTTGAGCTCTCTCTCTAGTGCTCAATTTTTAGCACATAGTTGATGCAAAAATGAGCTCCTAAGCTAAATTAGGACATATATATATATAGGTTGATTAAGGCTTCACTAATCACCTATGCATAAGTCTAATCAATTGAGCTTAAGGCTATACGATTATAATTAATTTATTCTAATTATTTTGATCTGAATCAAATTTTAATTAAACTTACAATATGGTGCTAAATATTCCAACTAGTCCATTAAATTAACCAATTTTGGTTTCTGAAGTCATTTGGGTCCTCAATTTCGAATTTTAAGTCGACAATTAAATAGATATTTCGCAAACGTACAGATAAGTATCAAATAAACACATAATCATGCAATTTATGCCCAATGAAATACTATATAAAAATAATTCGAAGGTCGGGGTCGTCACATTAGTAATGGAATGTGTCTGAGTTGGTGTGAGTAGAGGTTTGTTGGTGACCCTAATAGTCACTTGAAATTGAACGAAGTGTCTAATCATTACATAAGTATAAAGGTCATCAGGGGTCGGTCAGGAGTGGAAGTCGGGTAATATGGTTGCAAGAAAGAAATGAATGGAAAGGGTAGTCATATTGTAATTAGTTCTTGGAAGTCTAGCATGGACACAAGTGTTTTGTAAGAATGTGGGTGTTGAACCCATGTAGGGGTAATTAGTGTTGGGAACTCATCGGTAGTTGGATGCTGAGTGTTAAGGGGTAATGGTGTTTATTGTCCTATGTCTGGAAGAGGATTACAAGTAGTCACCTCATAAGTTGTTTGTTTTGGGCGAGAAATTGTGTAGTTAAAGGGTTCTTGGAACACATTCTAAGGTGTTGAAGTTGGATTGTGTGAGTGTGGTATTTAGTGTGAGTATATGTGGAAATTCTTTGACTTGGTAGAATATGAAATTTTGAAAATGAGAAATGTGATTGTTAATGGGTGATAATGAACCCAAAACAAAACAAAACAAAAAATAAAAATTTATGAGCATGCATGTACATTGTTATCTCTCAAGACGATTGTTGCCTTATTAAATTGTTGTTTTGATAAATGTCAAGATTAATTGGTAGAGCCACCGTGGCTGTGATCGGTGATCTTCAGTGACGGTTGGTGGTCATTGGGGGTGATGTTGAAAAAGGGGTGTGGAAATGCAGTTTCTTATATTGTGGCCTTGGTTGGCAGTGAAATTGAAATTACTGTTGTTGGTTCTTGAAAACTTTATGGGTTCGGAAATTTTGTTTTACATCCAGTGTGAGTGGGAAAATTTTATGTTTTGTTATATATTTAATCATTTATTTATTTATTTATTTATTTCCACTCATAATATTTTCTATATACTCAAAGAAGCATTTTCAAAACAATGGTAAATTTTATGGTAAAGTAACTAGTTCCTTAATTTTGCTGAGTTGGCGTAAGTGATGCATTGAACACGGGTTGGTGATGAATAATGGAACATATTGTCTGATGGGTTACTAATATTTAAATGTGTTGTATCATATTACAACTTGTGGGTCGAATTTCTTTCTAGTTGGAGGATTGAACACGGGTTGGTTGTGAATATGGGTTAGTCTTGAGTTTGGGATGTTAATTATCTGAAGTATTGTGTTTTGTTTTGCGTGGGTTAGCATAGTTAAACCGGTTGAACCGAATTTTCTTGGCGAACTCTATTTATTTGTGAGAGCTCATAGGTTGTCTTGTGTGATAGTTCTTGAATTTCGGAGTACTAATTATCCAGTGACTATTAGATGTTGGGTATATTGTCTTACGAGTATAGATGCTCTTCTATTGGGTTTAGCTCCATGAATTTTTTCGGTAAACTGTCTGGTCCGTGGAGGTGTTCATAACATTTATTCAAATGGTGTTTCTATTTCTAAAGTTGCTTGTTGTGGGGGATTCTATTTGTTTTGGCCTTTTGTTTGTCAGTTATAGTCAGTGAGTCGGGGATGACTCATTTTCTTTAACCTGTTGACCTTTTACTCGGAGCCAAGAAGATACCATGGTGATGGTTGGGGAATCTGGGAAGTTAGCCCGGGAATGGGTTGAGTTTTTTTATTGTAAGTGCAGTTCATTAATGTTTCCTTTTTCCGTGTTGGGTAAATCTTAAATTTTGGGGACAAAATTTCTTAAGGTGGGGAGATTGTAGCACTCCGAGAAAATTTTCTTTCTCATCGCTCGAGTGACGGATTGATCGCTTGAGTGATCTCGCGAGTCAACTAGTACTTTTGCAAATTTGAGATTCTGGGAGATGTTGATGTTCGCTTGAGCACAGGGTTAGTTAATCTAGTGGTCTGCCTTTGTTTGATTTGAAGTTCTGGGAGTGTAAGTTCTATGCTCGAGGGAATGTTTTATCGCTCGAACGGTGTGGTGTCTCTAATGCTAGAGCGCAAGAGTGGTCGCTTGAGCGATCTGTTCGTGATCAACACTTTAAAAAGTCATTTTGGGCCATTTTTCTTCATTCTTTCTAGATTTTTCTCTTCTCTCTCTCTCTCTCTCTCTCTCTCTCTCTCTCTCACACACAGCCATTGTTGAGCTCCAAGCTCATTAAACCTTAGATTTCATCTCCTTAGAGTGAGAATCTCACCTTGATTCCTTATACAAAAATGTAGAGCACAAAGAGAGCTTTATTTTAATCGGAACGGATCGTGTTTTCGTCGACGTTGGATTTTCGGGCCTTCTTCTCTCTTTGTTAGAGATAGGGATTTCTTTGCTTCTCTTCAATATCTTCTTATAGATAGATGGGTGGTATATTTGTATTACATAAAAACCTCATGTTGAGGAGATTTTCTAAAAGGCATGAAAAGGAAGTGAGGGTGTTCAAAATAAGGGAGTTAAATGTAAGATTAAAGAGGATTAAGGAAGTTTTGGGTAGTTAGAACCGGGTTTTGTGCTTTAAAGTACAAAGCCCTAAATTTTGTCTAACCCTAGTTATGATTTTATTTTCTTTAAATGATGAATTATTTCAGTTGGCTCTAAATTCTTGAAATTAAGTTTATGTTTGGTTAATTAAATATAGAAGGGATGATTATAATATGTTGTGAGACTGATTATTGTGAAAGGAGTTTACGTCATAGTAAATTGGTAGCGAGAAATTGGACTAATGAACTAGGAAGATGGGTATGATCTTGAATGTGTTGTGAAATTGAATAGAAGGTGTTAGTGTTGGGAAGTAAAAAATGTTGTGGGATACAAATTGTAATTGTTTCTACAGATGAACTTTTATTCTTATCATGGAATAGTTATGTTGGGTTATGCATAATGAAAATAATGTATGAGTGTTGTTGGTTTGATTTATGAGTTGTAAAGAATGAATGATATGATGAATTGATGGATTGTGATATTGGAATACAGGTCCATTTTCTTCCGACTCGTGACTGGTAAAGCGTGGCGCTTGATAGAGGTTTCGCTTTTCTTTCAGAGTAGCACTCGGAAAAACGTGTGGTTTGTTGAGATATATGGAGGTTCTGCATTCCTTCCGGATGGTGACCGATAAAGCTTGGTGCTTGAGATAGGTTCCATCTTCCGAAGTGGCGCCTGGTAAACTGTGTTGGTATGGCTAGGTGAAGCTGGTTATTGTTATGTGGTTACTCGTTGAGAACCTTGTGGTAATTCCGTTATATGATTGTGAAAATTATTTGATGTAAAAGTGGAAGTGTGTAATATGTGAATGTGTTGAAGCGCAGAAGTGTTTCGGGTTTGTGGGTTAAGAAGTGTGAAAGGTGAACTAAAAGTAATAATGTTTGGTCGATTTGAACCTTATCAAAGGAAACGAGTTTTAAGGGAATTATGTGACTGAATTTTGAAATGATAAAGAGTAAACAAAGGAAGTTTCTACGAAATGGCAAGTGGAATTTTATGAATATGTAAATCTATTTTACATATAAAAAGACACCTTATTTACATATGTATCAATTGATAACATTAATGATCACATATATCTATTGATCTAATTGTTGGGAATCATTGTAGATCCCTATTGGACCTAGTGTTCGTCCGATGTTGTTTAACTATTTTATAGGAACGAAGTCGGGCGAACGGTTAGAAGATTATGAAGTCCTAGTTCAGTTAGACTTCTTATTGTGTAGTGTAAATAAAGTGTTAGAACATTGTATATGATTATTGTGTAATCTTTCATGTAAGCCTTGTGCATGTATTTTGAACATTTCTATCATTGTAATTATGTGAGAGAGAACCTTATTTATTCTATCTAACTCGTCTTATTCTTGTAATTATAAATTGGAAATGGATGCTTATAAGGAATTTGGTAATATATCTGAGTAATAAAATTTGGGGTACGACATGATGTTTCAAATGTGGCCTAACACATGATTATTATGTGACTAAATGAAGCCTAAAACATGTTGTTCTAATAAAATAAATAAAACATATGAGAAAAAGGCAAAAAAGCTAGTAAGATGAATAAGCTACATGATGGAATGATTACCTAGCAACCTAACATGGATAGATACTGAAAAATGAAACAAAAAGGTGCTGAGATACAAAAGCTAAAGGAGTTTTACCTGTTGGTTTGATTAAATCGAAGAAAACACGAAGAAAAATGTAAAGAAACTCAAGTTTATTGCTTGTAAGCCTCGCGCAAGCTTCGGTTTCTGAGGTAGTTCGGGTTCTCCATGTGACAACCAAACCATTAATGCATCATGTATATCTAATTATTCATGCACTCATGTTATATGTTATGTGTTTGTGTAACTTAGGACTTGCTAGCAATAGGATGAGAAGAAGAAAAAGTTTGAAAAGTTATGTTAGAGTTTGTTTTGTTATGTGTTTTGAGTTAGGGGATAGCTTAGAATTTGATTTGAAAACCATAGGATATGCCTATACCTTAAGTGAGGAGCTTAAAGACCTTAGTCTAATGAACTTGACCATTTCATACTATTTGCTAATTTGCTAATTAGGATTAGTGGTAATTAAGTATAATTAGTGAACCTTAATTAGGATTAATTAGGTTAAGTATAATTAGGATAAGATTAGATTAATTAGTCCTAACCTAGATTAGCTAAAATAAGTAAGCAAGATTAGCTAACTAATGAAATGTTAAAACTTTTTCCCTAACTACACACAATAAAACCTTATGTTCCCTAACCAAACAAATAGAAAATTTAGCCCAGCTCAAGAATCAACGTGAGGAAGGAAGAACAATGGAGAAGAAAAGGGGGGAAAAAAAGGAAAAAAGGAGAAAAGGAAGAAAATTTAAAGGAGCCAAGGATTCAAGCCTAGAAATCCTAAGAAAATCACTGCAAAGTAAGAAACTCAATCATCTTCCATAATTTGATATCAAAACCTAGCTAAATACTCATTAGGAACAAGTTTTGGAAAGATTTATATAAAAGAAAAAAAAAAGTTTGAAAATAAGGAAAGGGTTTGGAGAATTCCTTGAAAAATCATGTTTTGAACTGGTTTTGAGCTAGATTTGATCTATACAATGGATATACCACAAACCTACACCTAGAAAGCCTTAAAACTTGTTTTGATGGATTGGAAGTGTTTGAATAATAAGAAGAAAAGATAGGAAGTTTGAATTAAATTTTGGTTTTCATGAAGCTTGATCTTGAATTCATTTATCCAAACATGTTTTCATCAGTTTGCAACATGTATTTATGCATTAAGATGTTTTATATCATGTTTTGAAGTTTGAAAACATGAAAAATGAGTTTTCGTAGCCTAAGAATAGATAGAACGGCCCAGCCCTAAAATTCCTATTCTTCTTCCGCGCGTACGGCTGGAAGAACCACTCTCTGCATGTGCGGAAATGGCCTTTGCATGTGCAGCTAGCTAATCCAGAAAATATTTCAAGATTGCATTAATTGCACACACGTCCCTGCACATGCGGCTAGGGTTCTGCACATGCAGCCTTGTTCCATCGTACATGCGGATTTCAGGGGCATTATCTATTTCATTTTCAATTTGTTTTCTTCGACCCTCGAGTATCCTTACACGCGTTTTAAACCTATTTGAAAGTCAAATACACATAGAAACCAATCTAAATCAAGTTAAAATAAGAAAGAAAAACAAAAGTTAAGTTTAGGAACTGATTTGTTATGTTAATGCTTTGGATGTTCAATGTTTTCTTCTTGTTTTTGTAAGTCAAGTCTTGAAGAAGTTAAACCATTGTGCAAGAAGCCAACTGTGAGTAGTAGTATAGCAAAGTTATGTTTGTTAAAACTATGATTCAAAATGCAAATTTATGCTATGTTTATGAAAATTATGATATTGTTTTGTTATGAATGAACATCCTATATTTTTATATCATGTACTGAGATGACATCTTGGAACTTGTTTGTTATTGGGAATCTTGCCAATAAACTCTTGCTAACTGAGCTCTTGCCACCGGTTGTAGCCTCTTGACTCATGACTCAAAGTGCCTTGAGAATGTTCATCGTTACATATATATTGCAAGATAAGCATGTTTTGTTTGAAAAGCTATATTGTGTTCAAAATGATCATGTGCTTGGTTTTAATAAAGTTTGTTGGTGTTCATTTATATACCACTTTGCTATATTGCTATTCACTAGGCTTTGGCTCACCCCTCTCCCCTATATTTATGTAGGTGATGTTGAGGAATAGGTTGAGGAGGAGAGATCCAGTTAGAAGTCTTTTACTTTTCTTTTTCTACTTTTGGAAGTTGTCACTTGAGAGGATGCTCTTGTATATAAGTTTTGACTTTTGTTAGGTGTATATTTGTAAATATTGTATTTTTCTTTTGGATGTTGAACTTGTAATGTCCAAGATAAATAAATAAGATGTATGCTTGCTTTTGTTTACATATGACTTATGCACATGCTCTGGATGGACTCTTCGTAATTAATGGACTTTGTTTTCCACATAAGCCTTAATGTTTTAGTCTAATCATGTCTTGTCTTGCTAGGCCTTTGGTAGTCAAACACTACTGGCTGGTCATAACTACTATCCTGTTTGGGGCAGGATGGGGTGATGGCAGAGTGGTATCAAAGCGCACACACACACACACACACACTCCATCCTTCAGAGCATAGAACTTCCCTTGAATAACTTTAGGAATGCATTCATATGGAACGTTTGTGATGATATGTGCATTTTAAGTGTTATTTGATATTTGAATATCATGTATTTGAATTATAAATGCTTAACTCATGCCTTGCATGCATAACATCATGGTGAGAGAAAGAGTCCAGTCCTCTACCAGCCGTATGGATCGACTTGAAAGGATGTTAAAATGTGTGGTGGAGACGGTAGAGGCATTAAGACAAAGGAATCAAGAACAACCACAAGCATAACAACAACCACTACCACAGTAGCAACAATAGCTACCATAGCAATAACTACCTTTGTAGATGGATTTTCCAGATTAGGCAACAATGGCACTAATATGGGAATACAAGAAAATGAAGCCAATCCAACTTGAAGAAGGAATTGATCCATTGAAGGCAGAGGCTTGGTGTGACGACCCTAGCACGCATATCATAATTATATTTATTAAATTATGTGTTAATTAATAATTGTGATATGTGCCTTTGATTACTTCATGTATATTTGTTCTATTTGAAAATTATCTATTTGCATTAGAAACTATCTGTCATGATTTCTGTTAAGAATTTGAAATTGGTGGCTTAAATGATTTTAGAAACCGAAATTGGCTATATGAATAGACTAATTGGAATATTTAGAACCTTATGGCAAGTATGATTAAAAACTGGTTCAGTTTAATTAATTAAGCTGTATTTAATTAGCCTAATGTTCTAATTGATGTATTAAGCTATCCTCACTATATAAGTGAGCCATAAGCTCATCCTTGAGCTCATTTTGTCCTCCTTTGAAGTGCAAAAATCTGAAAATGGATTGTAGAGAGAGAGAGAGAGAGAGAGAGAGAGAGAGAGAGAGAGAGTTTAGAGATTGAAGGCAAACTTGGAGGGTTAGCTTGAATTAGTCAACATTGTGCTAGAGCAAGTGTATTTGAAGACTCTAGGTAAGAATTTAACTCTCAATTCTTAAAGATAATGTGTTTTAGAGTTGAGTTCATGGGTTATATATGATCTTTTGCATGTATTTTGGTCATAGAAGTCAAGAAGATGAAGAAACTTTACATACATGCATGAATATGTTGAGTTTTACCATGTTGGGTTTGAATTCTAGCATCCATGTTGAAATTGTGATTTAATTTGTACAGGCATGTTTCATTCATCATGTGTTAACTCTTAAATTCATGTTTTGGAAAAGAGTTTTGTACATGCATAGAGCTTTTGAACTCAAATTTGGTAAATTCATGAGTTTTGAGAAAAGAACTTGAAAAAACTTACATGCATGAGTTTTTGGGTCCAATTTTGGTGGATTTAAAGTGATTTTGAGCAAATGGTTTTTGAGAGGTCATGTATACATGTTTTCCAAAGTAACTTTGTGTTTTTGAATGAGCCATGTATGACCCAAGGCTTTGATTTTGCATTTTTGGAGCTCAAACTCTGTTATGGAAAGCCCAAAAATTCTACAAATCGTTCGAGCGACCAAGTGTGAGCTCGAGTGAACTTGATGAGCTCCTAGCATTTTCGTTATCTTTACAGACCACTTAAGCGACCAAAGGTTGGCTTGAGCGAATTGACGATATGCTTTGCATTAGCTCGAGCAACATATAATTGCCTTGAGTGCAAATAAGACCCATCCAGTACTTTTGCAGACCTCTATGACCACTCGAACGACCAATAGTTGGCTCGAGCGAAGACCCATATATCAACATATTTTGAAAAGATGTTTTGTGTTCATATTTTGGTCCACATGTCTTTCTGAGCATTCTTAGACATGATTTATGACTCATTAAGGAACTAATAAGTGAGAAACCAACAAGAATGACTGAATTAGAAAAGAGAAGATGAATTATTCGATTTGAACTATGTGTTCTAATGTGTGTGCTTATGTATAATGTGTAGGTTTGAACGTTGTGGAAGAACATCAACTTACTCAAGGTGAGTAATATCTTAGTAAAGACATTTTGTTATATGCTATTTTCTGAAGAATCGCTTTTATGGTAAATCTTGGAACTTATGGTTCTTGAAATATGAATGTGACTTTGAATGTTTCAATGTGACTTTGAATTCAATTTGACAAAGATTAAAGCATAATAGACCCAAGGTCGTTTTGTATTGATGGGCCTAAGGTCGTTTTGTATTGATGGACCCAAGCTCGTTTTGTATATGATAGGCCCAATGTCGTTTTGTATTGATGGACCTAATGTCGTTTTGTATTGATGGACCCAAGGTCATTTTGTATATAATGGATTTGAGGTCATTTTATAAATGATGGACCCAAGGTTGTTTTGCATATGAGCTGGACCTAAGGTCGTTTTGCTTTGATATGATCTACTTGAATCTGATATGAATGGGAAGAGTATTTCAAATGATAAACTTATAAGTATGATTTTGTGTAATACGAATATGATCTTATTTAATACGAATCTCATTCATTGACCTTTTACTCTGATGTTATTTACTGGGCTTTAGCTCACTCTGTATTTATATGTATGTAGGTAAGTAGCGGCATGTCCATCCCTAGCCCTAGTGAACCTGTGAAAGAACACCGAGTTTTGTAGAGTTAGCCTAGGATGCTTCACACATGAGTCTTTTGTCTTTTGTTTGTTTGTTTTTATTGGTTATGTTTGACCTCGCCTGTATATAAGTTTTTGAGGTTGGATGAAATGATCTTGTGAATGGTCTTGGTTTTATAATGTCTCTTCTATTATGAATGGATGTGAGTTATTAACTAAATGAGATGTCTATGATGTGCCATATATGCACAACTCATTGGACAAAATTTATTAGTTTGTTTCCGCTTTTGGCTCCTCTAATATTTAATATTTTTGTTAATTCTGTCTTTGAGGCCGGGTAATCCGGGATTACTGGTCGGTTACGGTCTAAACTCATAGGGGCGGGTTTGGGTCGTGACTGTAACGCCCTCAAAAATAAACCCATCATAACATACATTCACAATAAATAGAAGAGATTTCATATTATAATCATCAGAGTATTCTTACAAAAGGTATTACATGTTGACAACAAAAGTAAATGCCCTTTAGGCTTACAACTTTCCAAGTCAACACTTGGTTACAAAAAGGAGAGTACTAACTCTACACAAAATAAGCCCTAGGCCTGAGAGACATGTAATACAACAAAAACAATGAAAAGGAGTCTGACGGCCTCAAGCCTCCCAAGCTACGTTCTTGGAGGTGGCATAACACCTGTACCTGAAAATGATGTCCCATATAGGGTAAGCCAACGCCCAGTAGAGATATGCTAAACATAATATGAGCAATAACTAAAACATTAGCACTTGATAAATGTTTAACTCAAATAAACCAACATACAATACAATCCAGTTCCATAATCTTTCACTTATCCAATTCTCAACTTATAAACACGGCTCAGAACCTGGCCAAACAACTTAGATGGGACTACATCTCATGCCAACAATATTCCAAACTGCCATTTTATGGAAATTGCGTCCGCGGGAGCCGGCACCCGTGTGTATTTATTTTCTTATGGTCATTTTACGGAAATTTCATCCGCGGGACTCGGCACCCATGTATAGATATTCTTGGATTGCCATTTTACGGAAATTTCATCCGCGGGATTTGGCACCCATGTATAATTATTCTCGAGTTGCCATTTTACGGAAATTTCATCCGCGGGATTCGACACCCATGTATATTCATTACCAAATTGCCATTTTACGGAAATTTCATCCGCGGGATTTGGCACCCATGTAATCAAATACTCATCACATACAATGACTAATCAATACAGAAATTCGGTGTATTATTCCAACCGTCATACTCAATGACATACTCAAATTGATTAGTTTTAATTCACCTAATCATTATGAAGTGTCTACAACAATCAAGACTATCCTGGACTGATAGCCCAAAGCAGTTATCTCTAAACAAATAATAAATGTCATTAATTATGCTAATGACCCAAATATACCCAAACATGGTATTTTTCCCCTTTCCTCAATATTGACCCAAAGGTCCAAATATTACCAACAACATCAATAATCTAGTAAGGACATGGGGTCAAACCTCAAGGAGAGGTTGCTTACGTATCTCAAGGTGAGAATCAGGCTGGACATAGTTCCAGTTTAGGATTCACTCGAGTATTGATACTCTACTTTTTTGCTCTAACTTTTGTCAAGGTCGCACTTTTGGAGTTTTCGGTTTGCAAGCTCTCATTTTTTTTTTCTTACTCTAAGTTTTGCTTGGGTTGTCCTTTCAAGTTTTCATCTCAGCGAGCCGGTCAAGAGCAGTGCTGCAACAATTTCAATGATCAACAATTGTCCTTACCCTAGCAATCTAACATGTTTTGCCTTGATTTGAACTTAGTTATACTCTTGAATTGTGCATGGATGCTCTAAGCTTGATGGTGAAAAAAAATTTCCTTTTGTTTTTCATTCTTTTTTTTTATTTTAATTTCTTTTTTTAATTTTTCTTCTTTTCTTTTTCTTTTTCTTTTCTAAGAAGGAGTAATACTAGAGATGCCATGGAGGGGAAATCTATCATTTTGAGGTTTGGATGTACTGTTGTGTTTTGCCAAAGTAGTCACTTGGATGTGAGGAGAATATCATGCACAATTCTAAATTTATCCTTGTAAGTTTGCAAAAAAATCCTTTTGGAAATTCTGTTTAAAAACTCACAAGCGGTCTTGCAAGAACCATTCAGAATTCATTCAGACCATTTGGGGGATCCTTCTCAACACTCGAGCTTATTAGTAGAATTTCATTCTCATTGCCACATTAGGCAATTTACACCATTCTCATACTCAATTGAATTATTAATACTTTTCTCGTTTTCCTTAATTGAATGATCGAAACCCAATTCTCTCTTATTAATATAATGAAGGTCAAAGAGTACATGAATGCGACTCAACAAAGAATAAACAAATCAAAGACTCAAGCAAAGATAAGGAAGCAAACTAACTACGACACACGACTCTACTACTGACATGACTCAGCTCAACATTTAACAAAATAGCACTGCACTATAAAAGGGTTTTATTTTTTTAAGTCCACATGTAGAATCTGAGACAAGCATCCACTGATCCATCGGCGAGTTTAACTTTGTCTTCCTTGTAGCATCGTGATCATCCCTACCTAATAAGCTTAATTCAGAACAGTCAAATTGAGTCACATCATTAGTCCCATGGTTTGCAGCATCTTTCTTGACTAAGGTGTCATCTTCTTCAAACCCCCTTCCATGTTGCCCCTTGTTTGGAAAGCCTCTCCAAGGTGCATTCAGTGATTGACCCTAGTTAAGGATTCATTCACAACTGCCTCTAGTTCAAAAGACTCCTTAATGCAAAATTCTGAACATGGGATGCGATTACTGATGGAGTTCAAACCTTGAAGGCCAGGTCAGTTGTGAGTCATTGTCTTTGTCATCATCTTAGTAGAGGTGGGCTCGGGTTCGGCCATGGATAAACTTTGTACACTTGGACTGAATTAGGTTGTATGGGTTAATTGAGTTGGTCTTGACTTGGTGAACAAAACTAGACTGGGTTTGGCTGGATTTTGGGTTTGGCTTCTTTTTCTAGGCTGGACCTTTTATAGTTGACTGGGCTTTTTTTGAGTTGGACAGACTAGGCTTTTTCTAGGTTGAATGGACTTTTTCTTTTTTGTTGGGCTGGACTTTTAATGAGTTAATTGGGCTTTTTCTGAGTTGGATGGACTAGGCTTTTTTTTTTTTTTTTTAAGGGGGGGATGCATAAAAGTATTTTGGACTAGGCCCACTTGACTTGGTAATCTTGCTGGCATTAAAGAGAGTATCTTATCAGATCATGGCACTTGTCGAAACGGGATAAGACACAATCTTTGGGCCCAATTTTGAATGACCCATTCAAACACATTCTCTGAAATTCTGATTTCCCCACCAAATCAAACACAATCCCCAACTTCAAATTCTAATTATGATTATGATTTTGTATTTTGAAATGGTTTCCCAATATTCTGATTTGACTCTCTAAAGATCTCTCCCATTTTCTACATGACAATTAGGATCATAGTGGAAGATTAAGTAGCTGTCTCCCAGTCAAACATCATTTGAGGAATTAGAGTTCTTAACAAAAGTGATCAATCAAATAATTTCTTCCCCATCCATATCATTCATTTAAGGAATCTCAATTTCATTCAAAAGTACATGATCAAATTACAGTTTCCAATTTTTATTTTTATTTTTTATTTTATTTTATTTTTTTATTTATTTTTCAAAATCTCTTTCTTTTAAAATCTTTTTTTTTTCTAAAATATTTTTGAGGAGTTCGGATTTTATTTTAAGAAATCAATCAAACAATTATCTCCTAGCCAAATATCAATCAAAATTTTATTTAAAATGGAAGACTTAGTCACCACTTCTTTATCTAACATCTTTCCATAAGGATGAGATTCCTCCCGAAGTCAATAGCCCAAATATTTTTATTCAATAAAACTCTTCCCACAATTTCCAAAACTCTACCCAAATTTTATTTCAAAATTTTTGAAGGAATTTTAGAGTTTACTCCAAGCAATCAATCAAACAATTATCTTCTAGTCAAATGTCTTCTAAGGGAATTCAAAATTTTATTCAAAATGAAAGACTTGGTCATCACTTCCTTGTCTAACGCTTTTCCATAAAATCAAAATTCTCCAAAGTCAATAATCCAAAGATTTTTGTCCAATCAAAACCTTTCTATAACTTCCAAAATTTCTCTCAGATTTTTTAATTTTTAATTTTTAAATTCTCTCCCAAGGAGTTTCATATTTTATTCTAAGTATTTAATCAAGGGATTATCTTCTAGTCAAATACCTTATTGAAATTTTATTCAAAATAGTATTTTTGGTCACCACTTCCTTATCTACCATTTTTCCAAAAAATTGAAATTCCCCAAAACTTAGTAACTTCAAGATTTTCATTCAATCAAACACCTTCCATGATTTTTAAGAC